AAAGAAAACTGAACTCTGAATCAGGTTAAGAGTTAAAAACTGAATGTGTCAATTATGTGGTGAGAAACAAAAGGCTAAGTCCCAGAGAACAGGAGCTGAGAGGTCAAAGTGGCGGCACAGAGCTGGACAGTCCAGCATGAGTGTTGTGTGTTTGCTGCATTAAATGTGTGTGCTCCTGTGTATTACTGTGTGTTTCTATGTGCTGGCCGAAGGACACAGACCAGTGCTCCACTGAGACACACAGGCAGCTCTGGTCAAAAGCTGGTTCAACAGCCAAAAGTTCCCTTCAGATTCTGACCTCCAGAGCCAAAACTATGAGAGACGCGTCAAGTCAGAGGACACTGTGAGCACCTGGAGAGACTCGGGATCGCTTGGGTGCTTTTCTTTTTTTAATTTGAGCCAGAAATGGCCGGACGGTAGCGATTTCAAAACGGGAGAGTTTTCAGAGCTGAACAAGTTTTCAGTGGGATTTTTTAATGGATTTTCAATGTAATCTTGGTGGTAGAGCTCTAACTCTGAGGCTGTCACAGGCCGGCTCAGTGCCCATGACAAAAAGGAGGGACGACAAAACGGTATAGGCCAATCTATAGTTTATTGTAAAGTATGAGTAACCTTAACTAAATAAAACAGGGATGAGATGTGAGTATGTAAATATGTTTAGTGTGTACAGTGTATGAGTGGGTGAACCTGTATGTGTGAATGTGACTGAGTGTTAATCAAAACCAAACTGAACCAAACAACAAGGTGGGTACCTGGAGGAGCAAAGAGAGTGTTAGTGGAGCCCAACTTATATAGCGAGCCCAAGTGGTTCCAATTAGTAAGACCCGCCTCTGCCTGCAGGAGGAACCGCCCCTGCAGGTCAGAGGAAAGGGTTGTGATAGGCTCATAGCTGAAAATCTAAAAGGTTAAAGGCTTTGAAAGTTACATTGGTTGAAAGAGGACACATTTTCCTACGCTTTAAGGTATAATTGGTGTAAAGGTAAAAGGATTCAAAGAAGAGTAATGAGTAAAAGGCCATAAAATGATCAGTAAGGTACAAGAAACTTTGAGTGGAATTTGAACCAGCAACTTCTGGATCTGCATCAAAGGCTCCAGCACTGAGCTATACCACAGGCTGAAAGGTTGCAAAGGAAAACATATCAACATTTGAAGGGGATGAAATGCCAATGACCAGCAGATGGAGCCATATTTTTTGCTCTATTCATTTCAATGAGCGAAAATAAAAGCAGAAAAAGTTAAATAACTTAAAAAGTTGAAAGGATTTGAACACCAAAAGTCACAGCCTCATAGTGCTGAAGGAGCTGAACATTTTGACACCTTATTTGTCGAAATAAGCTGACAAATGTGGGCGTGGTTAGACGCATAAATACTGAAACAGAAAAACAATAGTGAGAATGCCAGTAGGCTGGCCAGTAGGCATTGTCACAATAAACATTTTTAATTTTTTATTACTTTTGTGCATATTTTTTCCGCAGCTTACTAAAGTTTTACCGTTTCCATGGACCGTTCGCGTTCGACAGATTGGGCCCAAAATCGGCACGCCCGTCCTGACCGACCTGGGAATGCAGTCTTGTCAAAATCTTTCTCATTAGTCCTGGCGTTTTCGAATAAACAGAGAAAAAGGGCAAACATTTTTTCCCATAGGAAATTAATGGAAAATCCGAGAAACGGGCCCAAAACATGGGACGTCGTTGAGACCTCATTCGAGGTCTCTTGAAAAAAGTCAAACTCCAGTCTCTCAGACCAAACCGTGGGGCCGAGCTTTTGACCTCAGCCTTACGGTTTTCTGGCAATCGGGCCCACATTCCAGACTTTCACAACTCTCTCCAATAGGATTTCAATGGGACAGAGGAGAGAAAATCTGTCCAACTGCCAAAACGGACCTAATTTTGAAACTGCAATAAATAAAATAAAAACGGTTGGAGCAGACGAAAATAAATACACTGGCTGAGACATGGTGTGAAAATTTTTCTCGGGGAAGCGTCTTTTGTAGATCCTTCTCTAAATACATTTTAAACTACCCCAAGGCGCATGTAGCCCTTTAGTTATATATAAAAAAATCACTGAGTTTTTGTTGTATTTTGGCTCTTCTATGTGTTACCGTGAAGGCACTCTCTCTCTGCTCCCTCTGCCCTTATTTCTCTCCCTCTCTCTCTCACCCCCCATCGGCCGAGGCAGATGCCCCCCCATCTGGTTTTGCTCCAGGTTTCTTCCCCCTAAAGGCAGTTGTTTCCTCCCTGTGTCTCCTAGTGCTGCTCTTGGTGGAACTGTTGTTCTTCTGGAAATAACTCAGAGTCTGTTAGGAAAGCTGGGAGATACCTGCTGTTTATTTGATTTATTATTTAATTTATTCCTGTTGAAATAAAACTGAATTGAATGGAATTGAATTGCATACATGTAGTTAACTCGCATGTGATTAACTACATGTGTGCCACTCTGGCAGCAGAGCCCCCGCTTCCTCCACAGTCCAGAATCCCCACAAGAGCTGAGCAGGAAACCTGTGCAGGTTCAGCTGGATGGTTTCTGGATCCTTTTTGTCCTCAAACTGTTCATTTTTCTGTCTAATTTACACGGATTTTCTTACCCTGAGTGTGTTCCTGTCTGGTCTGAGATCAGCTGGAGGCTTCCTGCTCTGCTGGTTAAACTCTGACAGAAACCATCAACATCTGAGCCTCTGACCACACCAGAGTCCAGAGAACCAGAGTCCTGCTGCCTCTCCTCCAGAATGAGGTTCACTTCCTGGATCAGCTCTGTTCAGCATCCAGAGAAGAAGAAACTCTGAGAGCTGAAACCAGTCCACTAACAGCTGGAATCAGAGTTGAGGGTCATTTTAGACTTCCTGCTTTAGGAAACAGACACTCTGAGCTGGATGACCACAGCTGGATAACAGCTGGAGGACAACAGCTGGACTATCTGCTGCCATTCAAACCCCTGAAATGTTTCAGATAAATGGAGGAGCTTTAGCCTGATGAAGACCCTGCAGGAACAAAAAGGACTTGAGGAGCAGCTGTGACACTGAGTGGTGGAAAAAAGTCTCACACACAGGTAAAGCTGAGTGTCATCAGCATATAAACTGAATAAATGTATTCATTTAAACCCAGACAAGTAGAGAGACACTAGAAAAAATGAGAACTGAATAAAGCTGATAGCTACTGAAAGCATTATAATATGAGAGCATCGCCTGAACAGGGACTTGAACCCTGGACCCTCAGATTAAAAGTCTGATGCTCTACCGACTGAGCTATCCAGGCTCTGAGAAATGGAAGGGTGAAGACTCGCACTTCATAGTGTAAAAATATTTGAGAAGAGCTAAACATTTAAACTGGTGGTCATTTTGTTCTCAGAGCGACTCGGTTTGGCCTCAGAGGTTAAACGAGCCCTTCACGTCTCACCTGCTTAAAGTTAAAGCTGAGTGTCATCAGCATGGAAACTGGAGCAGCAGCTTTTCATCCAGCTAGAAGTCTCTGATCAAACCAGACCGATCTGCCTTCAGTCCCGGCTGTCACCACCAGGGGGCGGCAGAAGTGAGGGGGAGCTCAGACCTTTGTGGGAGAAAGTTCAGGCCAAGACCAGAAAAAGAAGGTATGCGTGCATGGCCGTGCAGACTAATGTGTGCGTTTGTGAGGCTGCCAGCCTTGTTTGTGTGCCAGTCAGTGTCCGGACAAAGGCTCCACCCAGCCGTGCAGCCCAGGGCTGCTCGTTCCCAGAGACCCCCGAGCCTCAGCAGCCCCACGCAGCAGCAGCCCCGCGCGGACCCGGACCCTCCACACCCCTCCCACGTCCTGCTGGAGCCCCGCTCGGATCGCTGGTGGACGGGAGAGCCAGAGCCCCACAGGGAGACAGCCAGAGCCCCGGGAACTAAGGAGAAGCCTTAATCTGGAGGTCCTCTGCTTTGGAACTATCTAAAACTATCTCAGATCTGTACAACCTGGAGCACAGAGGGAACCCTCACCTCTTCTTCTGGATTCTAGT